AGGGCGGAGGGAAGAGCCAGACTCAGGACCACTGGATTACTCTTAACTCCAGAAGCCCAGCCAAGGTAACATTCCGAAGAAGTGGGCTGTAGTCCACGAAAGCTTATGCTCTAATAAATTTGTTAGTCTCTAAGGTGCCACAAGTCCTCCTGTTCTTCTTTTTGCGGATACAGACTAACACGGCTGCTACTCTGAAACCTGTTGGAAGACAGGATACTGGGCTAGATGGACCTTTGGTCTGACCCAGTGTGGCCGTTCTTATGTTCTGTTCAGGATGAACAGAGCAAGGATAAGGTGAGGAACTTGTCTGGAAATATGCTCTAGCTCAGCCACAAGATACGGGCTTGAAGCAGGTACCACTGGGTGATGATCTCTGGCTTGTTTTATATGGGAGGTCACACTAGATGATCACAGCAGTCCTTTCTGGCTTTCACATCTATGACAGAGAGGTCTGCATAGGACAGTGGCATCTGGCTATTGCCTGGGACACCCTTGGAGAGAAAGTCTCTCTCACAAGAACATGAGTAGACAAACACACAACACACCCCTTCGCCGGGTCCCAGAAGCATGAACTGCACTCTTAGCACCCCAGGGAGCAGCGAGACCACAGGGATCGTTAAACCCACCTGCTCCTAGTCTCCCAGGGGTGCTAGCAGCTGCACTCACAGCTTGGTTTGTCTGGGCTGGGAGTACACCCTCACCCACCGATAAGGATGGCGGGGAAGCCAATCTGCCAGCTTACTGAAGGCTGTTCTGCCAGCCCCACCCTCCAAGCGGAGCAAGCTTGGCCTCAGACTCCAATGCTGGGTAGCGCAGAGGGAGCGGGTCGGGTGTGTTTCATCTCTCACTTGGGTTATTTTCTAGGACACACTGGCAGCCTGGGAGAGGCCCGGCGACCATGCTGGGATGCACCAGAGCCACAGCTCGGTGAGAAGGTACTGAGGACCGTCCCGGGGCCTGGGTCTCCGGCCGAGCTCTGCAGAGCTGCGGTCCTCCTAGCGCTGAAGCAGACGCTCCTTGCCAGGCACAGCTCCGCGCAGGACTCAGGCAGGCTCCCCAGAGCTGTCACCCAAGAGCCCACATCACACCACGTGCCTGGGGAACAGTGTGGAGACGGGAGGGAGGAGAGAAGCCTGGTGACGCAGCTAGGCCCCGGGATCTCAGGCCATTGCACCAGGACACCTGACAACTGAGCCCCAGGGTCTGATTTGCGCCTTGTGCAAAAGGGATGGACAACACAGGCAGCCTGAGCAGGCAGAGTTTGCTCTCATTCCACACAGGTGCCTGCAGCTACCCTATGAATTCACAGCCGGATCGAAGGGACGGACCCTGCAGCAGGATCCCAAGAGGCCAGTTGCTCCCCCCGCCTCCCATTTTGGGGAAGTTTCCTTTTCACATGGGGCCTTTCTTCTCTCAACAGCAATGGGAGATGTTGACTCCAATGAACCCTGGAGTGACCCCTAGGCTGCAGTGGGCCGACCCCAGGCGTGAGCTGGCAATGGCTCTGCTCTGGGATATGCAGCAGGCAGACCAGTTCTAGACACAGGTTTTGCTTCAAGGAGATTAACAGGCGTTTGCTCAAAGTACATGTGAGGCCAGCCCTACCTCAGTGGGTCACGGAGTTTCAGAAGCTTGCGCTTGGCCCCTGTCTCTCTGCTCCTGCCCTGATACTTTTCATTGTGCTTAGCAGCAAGCACTGCTCAGATTCACCACCCCGTCCGTGGCACTTACCGCTTGGTGCCCAGCATGGACCCGCCGCGTCCCAGCCAGCCTGCTACGTCGTGCCAGCCCACCTTGCGGATCTGAAAGGAGCAATGTCTTGGTTCATGCTGACGACAATCCAGCCTTTTCCCATTTGCTCCCAGCCTGGCTGCCGGGAAGCTTGAGACACCCGTCAGCAAATCCCCTGGCTCTGGGCAGTGAGATGATGGCACGTTTTGGAGGGGGCGCGTGAGGATGGAATTTGGCTGCTTACGCTCTCCGCGCTGGCTGAGCTCAGCCTGCCGATCTCACTGGACGGGGCCAGCTTACTAACGGCTTGGTGACGTGGCAAATACTCGCCAGGGGTGTTAATACAAAGCCACCCGAGTAGGTTCCCCAGAGGCACATGCCGATGTCTGCCCCCAGCTGCCCCTGCCCGCAGTCAAACTGGAGAGGTGTACCTGCCCCTTCGACAAGCCTTCAAAGCCATCGTTCACCACGTAGACCGTGTGCCCCTGGGAGATCCCGATACGCACCGCCGACCTGACAGCTGCGTTCATGCCGGCCGCCGGGGCGCCGACGTTCAGAATCGCCAGGCTGAAGTGAGTCTGCTGGAAGGGAGACAAACAGCACCAGTCGGCACAGACAGTGGCAGCAGGGAGAGCACACGCGTGCCCGGGGCACTGCGGCACTGCCACACCACACGCCAGCCAGCCCCAGCCACATCAGCTGAATGGCACCAGGGGCACTCTGCTCCATGACCCATCGGTTTTGTGGCTCCAGGGATCACTGTGACCACAAGTTCTCTGGATCAGTCACTGTGGGAGGGGGTGTGGCCTCCTGGCAGCCCCAGGAGCCGCTCAGCTGTGGGCCGGGGTGCTGGGAGAGGCAGCCCACCCTTCCCTGCTGCAGCTGCTCACCAGCTCCCCACTGGTGCGGGAAAGAGTGCAGAGTGGGTCTTGCTGCACCACGGCCTGTTCTTTGCCAGGCTGCGGGAGCCCCAGGGAGAGCAGGATCAGACACTGACTGGCTCTGTCTGTCCCTAGGGAGCCCCTAGCACACTTGGTTCCCCCTCCCCCGCCCAGCCCCCTCCAAGGACCACATGCTGCTAGGAACAGCCAGCATGCAGCTTCCGCCACCCTCTTAGCGAGATCTCCATCCCTCTTAACAGGAGGGGTTTCCGTCATTGAAAAGCTACCTGAGCTAAGAGTGAACCTGGGCTCTGCCTCCTGATGCTTTTGGAGGATCTGGGTGTGAGATTGAGACCAGGTCTGTGTGCGCATCCAAGGGTGGGTGTGTTGGTGCATGCATGCATGCGGGTGTGTCAGTGCACCCAGGTGGGTGAGTCCGTGCATGCAGGCGGGTGAGTCCGTGCATGCATGCGGGTGTGTCAGTGCACGCAGGTGAGTGCATTGGTGCGTGCATGTGGACATGTCCGTGCACGCGGGTGGGTGTGTCCGTGTATGCATGCAGATGTATTGGTGCATGCGGGTGGGTGGACACCTTTTTTTAGTTTTCAATAACTTGCAGTCTATGCTAGATTAGACCCAAGAGCCCAAGCACTATCTGCACCTTCTCCCCCCTGACTTACCTTTTCATGGGCTGTTTTCTGGTGTGCCAGGAGCTTGTAAATGTTCCAGTTATTTTCAAAGCTCCTGGAAAGAAAACCACTCTCGATGAGCCAGTGACCCCACACCACAATCACATCGAACCCCACCTGCAGGATCCACTCCAGAGTTAGCGATCAGCGCCAAGCTGGAGATCACAGATTTAAGCAGGGAGGGGACAGGGCCATGTGCCTAGGAGAACAGCTCCAGGGTGTCAGACTGTAGGAACTGTAGGGGGGTTCCAAAGAGGATGGAGCTCGGCTGTTCTCAGTGGTGGCAGATGACAGAACAAGGAGCAATGGTCTCAAGTTGCAGTGGGGAAGGTCCAGGTTGGATATTAGGAAACACTATTTCACTAGGAGGGTGGTGAAGCACTGGAATGCTTTACCTAGGGAGGTGGTGGAGTCTCCTTCCTTGGAGGTTTTTAAGGCCCGGCTTGACAAAGCCCTGGCTGGGATGATTTAGTTGGGAATTGGTCCTGCTTTGAGCAGGGGGTTGGACTAGATGACCTCTTGAGGTCCCTTCCAACCCTGATATTCTATGATTCTATGAACTGGGTGTTCGGAGGGGAGGGGGGCAAGGGGGTAAGGCTATGCCGATTTACTCCAGCTGAAGGGGGAGCTAACGAAGTGTGAGCCCCGTATCTCGGCTAGTTGTGCGTCTGCATTCCCCAAGGAGGGAAGGGCTGGACAGTTGATGTCATTATGCTATTGTACTTCCAGAATTTAAACTAGTGTTTTTCGTTGCTTGTGCATGAACATGGGACTACTTTGAATCTCTCTCTCCCAGATCCCAGTTAATTCTCCCATTTAGAGCAACCCCCTCCCAACTTTCATCTTTCTTAAGGCAGTTTTGGTACGTTTTAATACTCACAGAGCCTTGGGAAATGGCAAAAACATCTTCCTTTGGCTAAGTGAGTGTTAAACTCATCAGAATTCCGGGTTCCCGCCTTCTGAACAAGATTTTAAATCATGGTAGCTGAGTGAGAACAACTTCGCTTTGGGGATTTTCTAACAGAAATGCTGACTAGTGCCACGTACAGATTTGATTGCATGGGCTGTGCTGCTAATTAACTGCCCGCAAAACTTTGCTAATGAGTGAAGGTTGCCGAGTGGTGCCTCATGCCCTTCTGGAATGAGGAGCTCTGCTACACAAACCAGGCAATACAGGGTTAAGGAACATCACACACAACCCAAGCACAACCTTAACTCTGCCCCTGGGAGCTGGCAATAGCCAGTGCAAATGGCACACTCAGGCTGATGCGATGAGAAGCAGCCACGAAGAGTGATCAAAAGAACCTGTCATTGTCTGTGTTGTGTTGCACAGATCTGAACTGCAGCATTTATCCGCATGCCCCCCAGCTGCGGTCGCTGTGCTAGCAGTAGCTGTACTGAATGGAGGAGGGAGCGGTTGGAGCGAGTTGGCAGAGCTGTTGCGGTGACAGTGCACGTGTACCGTGAGGATCAGGGCTGCCCTGAGCGCTGGGAGCTGCAGGGTGTGTCAGTGGCAGGGCACAGGGACTGCATCATGGGACTGCTGGCGCTCTGCTGGCAGAGGTGGCAGTGGTCTCTGGACTTAGCACGGGGTCAGCGAAGGCAGTATCTCAGAAGGGCTCCTCAGGGCCAGGGCGAAGGGGAGGGAGCAGCAAGTTGGGGGGGTTGTGTGGAGCAGGCTCAGGCCGGGGTAGATGGCTCCTGTTCGCCGTGCCTGGCCTGAGCCCAAGTGTCGTCTCAGCAAAGCGAGGCTGTCTGTCCCCCGCAGGGCTCGTGGGCCGTGTCCCCTGTGTGTGCAGAGCGCTGCTCCGGATGCCGGCAGCAGGCTGGGACCTTGCCTGCTGAGGGCAGGGGAGGCTGCAGTGCGGGGCTGGCGTCACTCTTGCTCGCCAGCTGCTCTTTGCAGAGGCAGAGGGTCAGCTGCCCTCCAGATGGGCCCCGCCCACCGGGCGGCCAGAGCCGTGCTTTAACGACGCTGCTGCAGTCCATTTCCTTGGTTTTCAAAACAACTTCTCAGCCCCTCCCCATGTCCCATGGCCCAGCTATCCCTCTGCCCGGCCTCTGGCTCCGTGGCAGCGACTACTCAGCCCCAGCATGCCCTGGCTGCACGTAGCACCCTCACTGCCCTGTGCCATCTGCTCGTCACCCCTCTCTCTCCCCCGCACAGCCTTCCTCTCTGTGGGCAGCAGGCGTTGGCAGAGAACCCGCAGGGTGAGGGGCTGGGCAGAGGACACGGGAACAGCACAGGGACTAGCATGGAGCTGGGAGGGTGGAGGCGGGGGGCGTATTTTGAAAGGGGGACAGAACTGAGGGGCAGGGATGTGGAGGGGTTGGGCGGAGAGCGATAAAACCTCCCCAACCTTGCCCTTCTGCACAGCTCTGATCCCCCCTTCCCACCCCACTTCTCTCTGCACAGCTCCCACCCCCACCTTCCCTCCACCTGCTCACTCCCCCAGTGCCGCGAGAAGGGCCAGGACCAGCTGAAGGCAAGGAGGGGCGGGAGAGTGGAGATGCAGAGTCCCTGCCCCTGCCCTGGGCCTCGTGCACAAGCATTTCACTCCCTTGGGCGCGTCAGTTTAGCTCTCACCCCCCTGCAGTTCCAAATTTCACTCTCAGTAACTGTCAGCATCGCTCCCCCAAAGAGCCAGGGGTGCAGGGCACAAGCTGAGATCAATCCCAAGGAGTGAGATCGGTTTGGGGAGGATCAAAGCCATCGCCTGGGCCCCAGATGTGCACAAAAACATAGGAGAACCAGGTGATTTTGTAAATACATGATTTCTTGGGGGGGAGGGACTGTAGCTTGGAAACCCCTTGCTCAAATGACCCCAAATTTGCACCATTGACCCTATCCCACATCCCCATGAGCCACAGCAAGTTTCAAAGCAATCTGAGTGAGCATGTGCATTGTACAGTACTTAGAATAGTCATCTTAAAAAAGGTGAGTGACTCTCAACCGTAGCTATTGCAGAGCTGCTGCTCCACCATAATCAGGGTGCCTCACCTCCCCCGGAGCTGGATTGCCTCTTCGAACCTCTTCTCATCCATCGCTTTCTGCACGTCCTTTGTCTGAAGAAAAAAAAAAGTGATGGGGAAGTTTTAGTAAGAAAGAAAAACCCACGTAATTCAAGGGAAGTCAGCTAAATGTGAGACACGGTTGAAAATGAAATTACACTTGGCAGATTATCTCTTAGTAACCCCTGAGCCTGGCTAGGGAGCAAACAGGGCAGAACAAGGCCAGAAATGGATTCTCTCTCTCACACACACAGACTCAGGCTTTGGACGACAGCAGAAGGGATGTACTGGGACTTTAAATCTCTAGATACAGGGGATCTGTGTGTGTGAGACTCTGCATTGCTAATGACACATAAACCCCCACCTGCGCATAGCTAGAACAGACCCCCAGATACGCAGATCTCTGGGGCTATCCTCCATTTGTTCTGGACTCTCGAGTGCTGTTTCTCCCTTGCTAACTGCTGTCATGTGCACAGCAGAGTACAGTATAAAAGAGAGGGAGGCCAAACTGAGCAGTAGAACTGTTCACCCAGAGCTGCCCCATATACTCACCACCTGGACGCACTCCATCAGGGGCAGGCGGACAGACTGGTTCCCGGAAAGGCTCACCACGCAGGCAGGCGTGTCAGGCGTGGCCTCCAGCAGCGCCATCACGGCCTCCATCCCCATCTTGCTGCTCTGTGGAGGACACAGTAACCTTGGTATGAGGGCTGATTCTCTAGTGTGGGCCCGCTGCTGCCACGTGCCCTGCTGCATGGCTCATGCCCACCTGTCAGAGGCAGCTGTGCTAGTGGGGAGCCTCGTACAGACACGCTAGTGGGAATCGGAGCATCACGTGGGCTTGGCTACACAAAACACACCACGTACTAAGGAGAGACTGAGCTGGTAGGTCACAAATGTACCTGAGGGCTGCTGCTGAAAGATCCCGCAGCCACCCAGATCTTCTCCCAGACCCCCACATGCCAAAGAAACTTCCAGGGAGCAAGCCCCTGCCCCACACATACACCAGAGGAGACAGGTGCTGCTGCAACTCCTGCAGGGGTGGTTTTAATTCTGTGCTCGGGTGTTTCCCCCTTGTTAACTCACTTCCCCACACAGGTATCAGAGCCACGGGCCACTGGACAAAGCTCCGGCACAGCCCCTCGGAGGGGGCAGGGAAGAGATGGGTGGATTCTGTGGCTCAGTGGGTTTGTTTCTCTAATTTAGATGATTAGGATCCCAGATCGTTACTAGGCTATTTAAGATTAGGTCAGTTAGCAGTGGATTAGGAGGGGGCCGGTCTCTGTTCTGCACAACAGGGTCAAGCACCAACGAACGCTGCACTGTATGTGTGACTCCAGGCATTCCCCCGAGCCTGTAAGCAAGTGCATCTCGCGTTGGGAACCTTCCAGGGGCCCATTTCCTGCTCACCGTGCTGGGATTTCACCCTCCCAAATGCAGGCACACCAGACCCGTCGCTGCGATCACACACAGGGCCCGCTTGCACACAAGTCCCCTCTCGGCCAAACCGATTGTACCTACCAGCACGCGATCGAACGCCGAGGGGGTCCCGCCACGCTGCACGTGACCAAGAACGGTCACCCGGGTGTCAAAGCCGAGGCGCTGGACAACCAGCTGTTCAGCAGAGAAAAGAGAGTGGGTTTGTTACAGGCCAATGTACTTCCAGAGCCCGCCAGCAAAGGAGCGTGTGCCCCAGAGTGCGTCACTTACATCCTTCACGTAGCTGGAGGAGATGGGTTTGCCGTTCCTGTCGATGGCGCCTTCAGCGATGATTATGATGTTGAGCCGGGACCCTCTGCTGCGCGTCTGCCACAAGAGAAAGAAACAGCCAAACTTAACCGGAGCTGGCAGGAGCAGACAGACTGGCTCCGCTGGCTGTTCAGGGAGCTCACTGGTGCTCAGCACTGATCATTTGCTCCCTTGCCTGGAGCAGGGAACTGCAGGTTCCTTGGTAAACTGATGGAGAGGATGCACCGTGGCTGTATGTTTCTGTGCCCTTTGCTAAAACGCAGTGACATCCCTCACTCAAGTCAGGGAGATCTCTCAAAATCTTCTCCAGCCACTGCAGCTCAAGGCCAGAATCCTGCTACCCAGCAACGTGCCACCGCACCCCAGGGACACAGCATGGCACTGCCCGGTCTGCAGAACTCTAGAAAGCAGCCCCCTCCTCCCCACGGAGCTCCATTAACTTCAATAGGGCCCTGCCTGCCAGTTTCTCTGGGCCTCCCCTGGGCACGTTTCAGCTGGATTTGTATTCAGCAGCATATTTTGTTTAATTAAAGAGACGGCTCAACCCTCTTGAACTCCTGTTGGCGCACACACTCCCCTTCATGCACCGGCTCCGCTAGAAATGCCCAGTTCAGCCTTCAAGAGGGGTCAGCTCCTCAGCTCGGGGGAATCGGTGTCGCCTAGTGATTGCAGCGGAGCCGTTCCGATTCACAGCAGCTGGGGATCTGGCCCAAGCTGTTCCTAATATGAGAGAGGAGGGCACAAGAACTAGGCCAGGCCCAGAGCATGCCCACTTGTGGAAACCCTAAAGAGGAAGGCGGGGGGACTCGCCCCATCAATTGGCTTTGTCTGAAGACACTGTTACCATCACGCTGTCTAACCCAAAACAATTACAGAAGCTGGTTTTCAAGGAAATGAGCCCGTAGTGGAAACTCTAGTGGAAAAGACAAGGGTTGTACACAACCGTGTACATGTACATCGTTGTGTGCGACTCGGTGGGGTCCATGTGGGCAGGCAGATCTGCTGGCATGGAGCAGAGTGCAGGATTGGGGCCCTAATATAGGTGTGCACCCTATTGAGGGGTGCCCATTATACAGTTAACAGAACAAAGGACCAGAGATCACGGCTTGGTAAAGGACCAGTGAAGACAAAATATTAAGCATTTGAGTCAGCCTTGCCCACACGCTCCATGAGCATTCTTTCCAAGCACCTGAGCAGCCTTCTGGTCCCACAGTGGTTTTGAATTGAAATTTACCAGGTGTTTGGCTGAGAACATTGGACTGCTGATGCTAAGAATAGACTCCTGCTTTGAAATGGGGGTGTCACTTCATTAAGATCCTTTTTGCCCAAGTGGCAGGACTAAGAGAAGGGCAGATAAAAAGGAGAGACCAAGGAAGAAGAGTAGAAGCTTGGAGTGGCATTTCTCTCTGGATTCCCCACCAAACCGAGCTCACTTCCCCAGCTGACAGAAGATGATTGCCGCGTCCCAAACAGCACTCACCTCCCCAAGCCTCTCGCACATGAAATCCTCCCAGCCATCCTCAGGAGGGGCCTCTGGGATGAAAAGCCAGTCAGCACCCGAGGCCAAGGCAGACACCAGCGCCAGGTACCTAGGGAAGCAGACTAGGGAGGTAAGAACCGTGTGGCTTGGGATCGAAACAAGTTCAGGCCTCTCATGGCTTGGGAGTAAGCATGAGAAATCCTGTCCACATGACAGCACCTGACAGAGTTAGTGGCATGGTTAGCTTGCAATATGCCTTGGGCCTGCACACACTATGGTTATGTTGCTAGTAACCACAGAGGCTGGCAGCAGTCTCCTTTCCACCAGAGCAAACCACTGCATGGTTCCCATTTGCCCCAGGGCGCATTGCTGATTAGGGACTTCTCTTGGCTCTTGTGTAGTGCATTCCACACAGCCCAGACCTTCCATTGCCCTCAGCACCGCTTCCTCCCCTCCTATCCAAAACCCACTCTCTTCCCCTCCCGACACTGCCAGCACCCATCCCCACCACACCCCCCCGCTTCTCCCTCTCTCCCAGACAGCCACCCTCGCCCTCCCACCTCCGAAGAGTGGGGGCCTCTCCTTACCCACAGTGTCTGCCCATCACCTCCAGCACAAAGGTCCGCTGGTGGCTGCAAAGAGAGAACGAGGATCAGAATTTGGAGAGTAGTGTCTCTCTACAGCAAGGCTCCTTGGCCAGAGTCAGGTTCAGTCATCAAAAGGCCCCTCCCATCGCATCCCCCAAGAATCTGGGTCAGAGGCAAGGGCTGTGCAGCGCTGTGTTACTGTTCAGTACGGAGCTCTGGCCCTGCCGAGCTGGTACACCCTCCTGTACGTTCTGTGAGAAGGAGCCGGCAGAGAGAGGAGGGCAGCCGCGAGGGACTCCCCGCTCACCTCTGGGCTGTGGTGGTGATCGCGTCGATCACCTCCATGATGCGGTGCAGCGCAGAGTCCGTGCCGATCGTCATGTCGGTGCCACAGAAATCATTGTCGATGGAGCCCACCAGGCCGACGATGTTCAAGTGACAGTATTTCTTAGCCACCTCCTTGGTGATCTTACCTGGGGTTAAACACAGAGAGGCTGCAGCAATCAACTCCTGACTTTCCCTGCAGAGCAAGACACTGCTCCGGCTGCGGGGCAGAATGGGCCCTGCTTATGGGCATGCAAAGCAAGCCGTTACTTTGACAATACATGTTAAATCTAGGTATCCCTGTTCTGCTTGAACAGTGTGACTGGAAAAGGCCATTGTCCTGAGTCTTCCAAGCCGTTTGCTGCAGACAGCAGGAAGCAGCCATGCAGCTCCCAATTGCTCCACCAGAAAAGCAGATTTGACAAGTTGCAGTAAGGAGAGTCATATAAAAAAAAAGACCAGCCTAGAAATTGTGGTTAATTTCATGGTGATCTCCTCTGTTAGGCCTTCAAAGCCATCAAACCAACTTCACGATCACACCCGCTTTCTTCCTGGATCAAACAGAGAGCTGCATCCTGACTAACTCCTTTTTGATATAATTTCAAGACTTCAGGCTCACGTTCATGATTTAGACTTCGCACCTAAGCCCACATGTGCCTTTGCGCAGAGAAAGGCAGAACAAGAACCCACAGTTCGAGCTGATGCCAGGCAAGTTTAACAGTGAGGGCAATTCGCCATTGGAACAGAGGGCCAAGGGACATCTCTTGATGTCCTCACATCCGGACTGGAGGCCTACCTGGGAGACGCTTTAGCCAAATACAAGTTATTGGGCTCAACGCACTGAGTAAATGTAATGACCTGTGATGTACAGGAGGTCAGATTAACTGATCTGATGGTCCCTTCTGGCCTTAAAATCTATAAATCTGATGATGTCTCATGCTCAAGCTACTCCCCCCCCCTTTGGCTTTGGCCCTGGGGATTAGCACAGTGCTTGTATTACGCTGCAGTTCAAACTGGGGCCTGTGCTGGCACGTACCGTCTTTGACCAGCTCCTCCAGCAGGCTGCCCCATTCTGTCCGGAAGATGTTGGCCCCCGTCAGGCTGCCGTCCCCGCCAATGACGCACAGGTTGGTGATGCCGTGCTGCACCAGGTTGTGGGCAGCCAGGAGGCGCCCCTCTCGCGTGGTGAAGGCTTTGCAGCGGGCGCTGCCAATGATCGTGCCGCCCTACAAACAGCAGAACAAGGTGAGAGAGGAAACAAACAGCCAGAACAGCTGGTGGATGCAAAGGGCCAACTGGGTGGGACTGACCCTCAGGAGCACAAGCTCTTGGGGCAAATCCACCTGGGAATCAGTCATGGGAAGCGTCCTGCCCCTATAGCTAAAGGATGGGGAAGGGTGAGCAGGTTACCTGTGGGTAGAGGGGAGGAAAGAGGGTGCAGGAACCTTATTCCGGCCCATGCCCCAGCAGGCCAAGATTCAACCATACCTAGAGCTCTAGAGGGGTCCAACACCTGTGACTGCTGATGTTGCACTGGCTGGAGGGGATGCGGTCTCCCAGCTGGTGGCAGGCTCTGGCCAGCTGTCCCCTCTGCTGCCCACTGCAGCAGGCACTAGCCAGGGGAAGATGCTGCTCTGCATTTCCACCTGTCCTTCCCCAGAATCACCTGCCTTGAGCCAGCCTGTGCTGTGACGGCAAGCTGCCACCCCTCCCGCACCGCAGCAGCGTAGTTCGGGCAGGAGCCACCCGACGTTTCCGTTTCAAATCTTCCCAGTCTCCTTTGGTCCCAAGGTAGAAAACAGCTGGGGCAGAGTTAACCAGCAACGTAACGGTTCCACTTAAAACACACCACCCACCGCCTCCCTGACCGTGCCCCTCGCGTCCATTTGCTGGGATCTCGACTCTTCGCCTTCCAACGGAACAATAAGGAGTGAGGACGGCTGTTCTCCTGGGAGTCGGACTGAGCCAGCGGGGGCAGGCCTCCCACAAGCTCATCACCAAGGCGTCAGACCCACAGCTTTCATAACTCTTTGCAGCCTTTGTATTTGTCTCAGGCACTTCCTCCGGCTCCGATTGCAAATCAAGCCCAAAGAAGTGGTCGCGACCCTCCTGCCCCAAGGGAGCTAATGTGCCCCCAACCTCTTTGCACCACTAATGGCCTGTCTCACTGCCAGACGGCTCTCCTTTTGGAAGCAGACTCTCCAAAAGGTGCTGGCAAGAACAAACGCTCCCTTGGGCACTTGGTGGCCTGGCACTTGGCCCATCCCCGCGAGAGATTGCCCTGTTTTGTTCTGGGTCACAGCCCAGCATGCAAATTGCTTCTGGTTCATTTAGGGGCATGTCCCAGCAAGGAGCCTGCCTGTCTCTGGCTTGCATTTGCGCCTGGGGTTTGCTACAGTTTAGCTGATGTACCTTAACTAGCACTGTGAGGCCTAATTGCTGCTTTTATCCCCATGGACTCTGCTGCCTTGCTACATACTCCCAATCCTGAGCGTGGGGGAGAGTTAGGAGCTGGCCTGTTTTCCCCATCACCACACACTCACAACCGCATAGACAGCAGCTCCCGGGTCAGCAGCGCACCTTACACCCATGGCAGTAAAAACACTGGCATGTGCAAAACAGAGAAGGGTTCGGAGAAGGAAAGCGAAGGAGGGAAGACAAGGGAGGCAGAGAGACAAAATGCCACGGATTTCAGGAGTTCGCTACCACGGTTGGCTTTACTGCTTTGGAAAGGCCTGGCGTAAACGCGGGGGGACTTGCCAGGTCCCTCAGGCAGACGTGGCAGGGACACCAATGTGACATCCCTGCCCCTCTCCTCCGAAGCCAGGCTTCTGAGGTCACTCCCCACGGATGAGCGAGTGGCACTGCCAAGCGAAGCAAGGCGTGGCATGCTGAGTGCCAGCGGCTGTGGAACAGCAGCACACAGACGGGAGTGGGGAGGGCATGCAGCACCGGAGCATTACCTGTGAGCAGGGAGACACACTGCTCAAATCAGGGAAGATGCTAGAGGGAGAGGGGAGAAAACACAAGAGAATGGAATGAAAGGCTCAAGGAACTGAGGGATGCTTCCAAGTGGCCAGCATAGCTGGCTGGTTTCGGTCCTGGCTACACAGCAGTTACAGCTTTCTTGGGCGCCTGGTAGATCCCAGCTGGGAACCAATGGGGCTAGCACCTCATCTGGATCAGCGACCCACACTGGGGCAGACAAAGCCAGTGTTTCCAAGGCAGAGCCCTCCCCCACCCCACTGAAGCCCTTGCCCCTTAAACACAGGCCAAGATGGTATTTCTGTAAGAGTCAAAGTCCCTGCTCCAGGACCCCCACTCCCCAAAAGTCTGTTACACCAGGTCATGGCAGAACCAGGTTATTCGCAGGGGGCATGTGGGGCTGAACCACGCTTTAGCCCAGGCCATTGTGCTATGCAAAGAACCACACTGACATGCCGTTGGGAAGTATTTTTGTGGCCCTGATTGGTTGTGTGTTTCCACGCTGCACAGCTGTGTTTAAATGTAGCTGGTTTTGTGGAGTAGGCGGGGCCTAGAAGGGGACCTAGCAAGGAGAAGCAAGAAGGGCTCGAAGGAGAGAAACCACTGGGAAGGTACATCAAGCTGTTTGGTTTTGGAAGCGTATCTGGGGGGGGACTGGCTACTTGCTTGTTTTTGACGTTAAACATTCCAGTCCCTCTCTCCAGTGTTTCTAGCAGGGCTGTGACACCATGCCAGCGGCACCTGTTTAAATCTCCTTCGGCTGGATCCCTAGCTGGTGTAAATCAGCGCTCCCCACTGACTGCAGGGGAGACTGTCTGTGTGATTTCAAGAGAGCCATGCTGATTTGTGCCAGCTAAGGATCTGGCCCTTTGGTTTGTTAAAGCCTATTGAACTCAAATGCCTCAGAAACCTGTGGGAGACAAGATGGCTTTAGGTGCCTTTATTAAAGATTCAACAACCCCTTGTTCACTGAAGGACTCAGAAAGCCTCAGTCCTCATGTGAGACCTCCAAGGAGACCTCCAGCAAACCAGGGTAAGCTCAGATGCATCAGCCCAGATACTTCAAGGTAAAACCACAAGCAAACACACAATTCAAAACCACATCTTTTACACGTCAGAAAGAACCAAGACAGGGACACGGACCAGAGTGCCTAAACCCAATTCATTTCCTATCAGCTGGTCCCCTTTAAGCTGGGGTCGCATCTACACTACAAGTACACTGTGAGGGGCAGGGTTTCCCCAGCAGAGTTTCCACTTTGCAATGTAGATGGACCCTAACCTCGTGTTCACCATGAATCAGAATCTCACTACGGCCCAGGTCTGTCCAAGCCTGCAGCCCAGTTCAGGGACACAGTTATATACACGGTTAGGTCCCATCTACGCTACAGAGCAAACTGTGGCAGGGACAGTGGTATTGCTGACACAGCTGTCTTTACAGTGTAGGGTCAATGGGCCCTTAAAGAGCCAAGCATGTTTTTAACACAGTTTGGGGCTGTCTACGCAGCTGACACCAAAACTGTGTTATCACACCGAACGACCGCAACTTGGTGCACCAGTCCTCGATTAGTCTGGCTGTGCAGTCAAGACCAAAGCTGCTCCAGGACCTTGATGTGAGAAGCACAGACTGAGCGGGAAGGCAGGAGAGACGACTCGTGAGGGGGAAAGAGATGTCTAAATCATACAATGGAGTCAAATCAACCCAAAGGCGTGTTTCAGTAGGACGCGAATCACTGTTACCAAGAGGGACGGAGAAAGGAGACCCGCTCCCTGCCTCAGGGGGCTTGGGAAAGGGGCATGCACAGACATGGATGGAACTCACACACAGCCATTTAGCAAGTTTAATGAAGTGTCACCTCTGAGATGGCCCCCTTCCTGCTCTCTTGAGGAAAAGGGCTCAGCTAACAGTGTTTCTCTGGCCTTGCTATGCTGCCGGATGGCTTACACTGACTTCCCCTCCAGGGGAACAGCCTCTTTCCAAAAACGCTTTCTCCCAAAAACGCTTTCTCCCCACTGTCTCCTGCTAGCAGAGAACGGAGCACACACAGCGCTGTAAATCAATCACCCCCTACTCCCAGCGTGCCCTGGGCCTGCAGTTGCAATCATTAGGACAGGAAGAACAGCCTCTATCCCCAGGCTAAAGAGTTCGTCCTGGTGTTCAACATGTGCTGGATGGATCCAGCATCTAGACTCCATTGAACTGGACTAGAACATGGTTTAGCTTTGCCCAGCATGATCAGCCAAACTGAGCTACAAAACCGAGCTCTGCAACCTCAGTGTGAGCCCAGTGTAGACGGGACCATGGGGAGCAAAGACTAGGATTTTATATGTTATTACTAAATCATTTCAGAAAACCCTCTCCAGCTCTGACCCCCGCAGACCAGAGGAAATCACAACACTGGGCAGATGCGTCAGAGATGCATGTGAGCTGCACAAGTTAAAAGGGAAGGACTGAGAGGCCTTTATACTCACAGAGGGCAACGGCAAAATTGCTTACCAACTGAATGATGTTCGAGACGCTCAGCCAGTTTGCTTGCTTAATGTTCTCTCCTCCTTCCACCAGCCCCTCGTAACCCTGCAAACAGAGAAGCAAAGATGCAGACGTGAAATGACCGCCTCGCTGAAGCAGGAGCCAACACCCAGCAGCTTCTGTGCGGCGGATCCGATTCACTGGTCCATTTTGGCTACGCGTCTCTCTGGGCCTGGGTGAGGGATCAGTGAGACAGACACCTCACGAGAGGGTGAGGCTGTAAAACAGCTCCTTGGCAGGACCGCAGGTAACCTTGTGTGAGCCCCCGCAATGGCGAGTGCAGACTGGGGTTAGTGCAGAGCCTGCTAGGCATGTCCAAGGCAGCAGGAAGGTAATGCTACCCCAGGTGACTGACAGTTTGGGTTCAGGGCCTGGCATCAGGTACTGGCAGTCAGAAATTCCTCCCTCAGCCACAGAGCATCTCCCTGTGCCCACTAAGGGCTGAAACAGACCAGGAGGGACACAGCTGGCTTCCCCTCTCCTGCTCCACCTCCCCGTCCCTGCCTTTCTCCCTCAGGAGCGAATGGGGCACGGAAGCCCTCACATCTCACTGTGCGTGTGGGGTAGGGTTGCCAACTTTGTAATATTTAAAAACCGGACACTGCAGCAGGAGTGCTGGAACCTCCCCTCCCCTGCCCCACCCCACCTCTTCCCTGAGGCACCACCCCCCATTTGCTCCTCTTCCCGTCTCTCTCCCCCCTCCCCCATTGCTTGCTGCTCTTTGCCTCTCCCCAAACTCTGCTCAGCATGGGAGGGTCTCGCCTGTCAAGCCAGGACTGGGGGGCTGGGAGCTGCAGCTGCCCGATGAATGTAGGAGGCGGTCCCAGCTGAGTAGGGGCTGGTGCGGTGATGACCTGGTGCCTTCCTGCCTCCCCCCGCCCGCAGTGACTGGACACTGTCAGGTTCCCTTTTCGACCAGACTTTCTGGTCGAAAACCAGGCACCTGGCCATCCTAGTGTGGGGGAAGGGGAGAAGTTAGCTTAGTTCAAACATTTAAAATAAAAAACTAAGGGCCAGATCCTCAGCCTGTGTAAAGCCAATGGAGTAAATGACACTGTGCCACTTCACACCAGAAGAGGGCCTGGTTTCCATGGCCCTGCGGTGGGAAGTGACTCTCATGAGCACCAGGAGGAGACCAGGAGCACTAACATTTTGCTGCACAGAATCCACCCAAGCTAAAGGCTGCTATGAGACACTTTGGCTGCTGGGGTGGCTGGAAGCAGCATGCAGCAATCCCCAGCAGCACACTCGCACAGAAGGAACAGAACAAAGCTCCGGACGTCCCGAGAGTTCAAGCGGGGATCACACCCCACACCCTCCCATTGACTGTTACCGGGCAACAGCTGCAGGGGTGAATGGCCGTTAAAATTTCACTAGCTCTCCAAGCAGCTGGCATTTGTAATCCAGCTCCTTGTGGGGAGAGGAGGGGCGACTGGGACGGGAGAGGGCTGAACGAAGGCAAAGGGGGGTTCTAAATTGCTCCCTCCCCAAAATAGCCAGCTGCTGTGTTTCATCCACTTTTACACTCATTTGCTAGTGGACAAGCTCAACAGCCCAGATTTGACTTTGTTCGGGGCTGGAGGAGTCCAAGGAGAAAGAGCAGGGATCATAACAACGAAGCGTGGTTAGATGTTGGCTGCATGTGTGTTTATTTAGTGTGCAGTTTCAGCTTTGGCAGACAGTGGAGATAGCAGACCTTAATTAAACCACCCACGTTAGGGTCACCAATGTGGTTAGATGTTGGCTGCACGTGTATTTATTTAGTGTATGGTTTCCACTGCAAGCCTGGGGCCAGCCCTTGTTGGCAAAGTGAGCTAGAACTGCACCTTCCATTTGTAACGGCACAGCGAGAAAACCCTCCGTCCCCAGTGGCACATTAGCCACTGGGCCAATGGGGCCCATCCCCAGGGGCCCCGACCCTCTCCGCCCACCCACCCAGAGCTCCTTCCGGGGAGCGGGGTCAGAGCACAGGGGCTTGCCCCACTCCGCCTGCTGCCCCAGCACTCCTGCTGGGGAGCAGGGGAAGCCCCCACCCCACCCACCCTGCTGGCGCACCAGGCGAGAGGGGCGGGATGGCATGCCCCCATGACCAACCCCCTTTCCCTGGCAGGAGCGTGGGGGAGGGGCCCCCCACTTGCTCTGGCCCATGGCCCCACAAAAGCTTAATCCATCTCTGTCAATCCCAACTGGATGCGGCCGCACAACCCAGCTGCAAACCCAGCAGCAACTGTGCCAAGAACCTGGCAACTCTCTGCCTTAAACTGAAGTCACCACAAATGAAGCTGAGCAAGACCGTGGGAGTGAAGGGGGGAGGGAAGAAGGGACCCTTGAAAAGAAATGTCCATGATTGTAGGGATCACGATACCAAGGAGCTAAGAGAAAGAGCTCCTCCTGCCCAACAGCTCTGCCAGTTGAATCTGTCACGAGCTATAGCTAACCCGTCTATCCCAGTTTGGGGTTTCCCCCGGGAAGAAGCCACCAGTCACGCCAACTTGATGTTAACACACTGGAGACTAGGAGTCACGACTCCTGGGTTCCACCTAGGGCAAGTCCCTGCTCCTCTTTCGCCTCCGTGTAATCATTTGCAAAGCAGGGGTGCGATCATCCTTCCCTGTCACAGGCAGGCTCTGAGTAGAGGTCACTAAAGGTGAAAGGATGCTGCACTATCACAGCATAACCAAGCCCCAGTTTATTTCCCCCTCCAAGTTCCATAGGTGGCACTTAGCCATTTACAGGACAAAGCTATACAATCTCTACCCCTTGAGAATGACAGAAAAAAATATTGAATCGAACCTCATAGATCAGGAAAACTTTTGCTCCAACGTATATTCCCATGCGAGTCACGGCACGGACGGCGGCATTCATACCTGGAAAGGGAGTACAAAATAAACCACAGTCAATACTGAGCACCTGGGTATAGGGGCCACAAAACAGGGACCGGTCCTTATAGTCCTGAGTTTCAATATGGTTCAGGTTGCTATTAGATCAAAACTTCCCAATTTATAATCTCGATAGCAATCACAAAGTTGGGGGAGTAAGAGTATAGGTTTATTACTATTTCTCACCATCAAAACGATGGACTAAGGCAATTCAACAACAGATACATAGACCAGGAGTAGGAAAGCTAGCTACACTTAATATAGGTAAGTAGTTTTCATGTACAAGAAAGTAACATTATAAATAACCACTTCCTCATCTACAGCTAAACCAGACCCAATAGAATAAATAGGCTCACAGTACCTCAGTCCCCCCAGATTCCTCTTGCACTGTGATTATATAGATTACCAGGCCTTCCCAGTGGCTAGCTTCAACCTAAACCTTGCCCTCACAATATTCTTTGTCTTTGACAGCGGGTGTTAGCTCTTGTATTCTCCAGCATGCGGCTAAACCTTTTGCCTGCCCGGCAGGGTTAAATGGGGAACCCCAGATGGCTTCTGGGGGAAAAAGAGAAGAGGCTGAAATGAAGAGGCGGGGAAGGAATGTAGAAATGAGAGAGAGAGAGAGAGAGAGAGAGAGAAGAATAAACAAGAGGGGATGAGGAAGGAACATGTGAAAGTTAAGGTGAGGAAGGAGAGAGAGACATGAGAGCAGGACCAAGGAAATGAGAAAGTAATTTTAAGAATAAGGGTTTTTG